TGGAATTTGCTTGAGAGAGTATATTGCAGAGTCGAGAAAACGAATGTAAAGGCGAAAGGTGTGCAGCTGCGGCTGCCGGCTTCCATGTACACATACAGGGGAATAGGAATAGGCAATTCCTATTTGGCGCTTCAGGCGCCTGAAGCGCCCGCGAGTTGGGCCGGCCCTCATCACTTTTTCTCTCTGTTTTATAAACTGCGGAAAAGAGTACAAACTATGTTTTAAACCCGCAATGTGCGTGTTTGGTGCAAGTCGCAATAACCACCCAGCCACCTCACCTTATTGCGATTACATAGATGTTTTTCGTCTTTTCTTCTTTCTTCTCTTTTCTTCCTTTCCTTTCTCTTTTCTTTTTTCTGTGTCCCTTTTTATTTTTCTAGTTCGTGCACTTTTTTATTTCTCCAAATAAGATTAACTTTTATTCAAATTCTATGAACTTTTTTAAAAAAAATGATCGAATATTTTGAAATCTAATGAACATTTTTTAAATTTGATGAACGTTTTAAAAAAATTGATGATTTTTTTTACAAATTTGATGAACTTTTTTCATTAAATTCAAAGGCATTTTTTCAAAATCGATGACCTTTTTTTAAATTTATGAACTATTTTTCAGAATCGATGACCTTTTTTCCAAATTTGTGAACTATTTTTCAGAATCGATGAACTATTTTTCAAAATTGATGTTTTTTTCCAAAATTGATGAACTTTTTCATTTCTGACGAACCTTTTTCATTCTTTAAATTTTTCCCACAATTCATGGTTTTTAATTTCTTTCTTTTTGTATTTCGTTTTCAAATAATTAATATTGTGCATATATTTAGTGTTATACTAGAAGAAGGCCTTTTTTTGATAGTGAACAAGCATGTTAGCTCGTTCCAGTGGTTATGGTGCCATGTTGTTATTGATCGATGATGAGTTCGAATCCCATCGCAATTTCAATCCTTATTTTTTTATTGGGTCATGCAGATACGTTACCTATACCCAGCCAGGAGTTCAGCTGCACGCAACACAACTCCCCCAACTACTTATATTTCGGAACAAAGGTAATAATAAATAAATATAAAAATCAAGGCATGTACAATGGTTGATAAGATAGTCTTATCTTAAGTCTTGCATGTAATTTAGAGAAGACAGAAAAAAATGTCTATAATGGGTCATCTCTTAGCCTTATCTTCAATAATTAGCTATTCCTAAAAACGTGAGACATATTGTGCTAAGAGATCATCTCCTGACTTCTCTTAAATAAGAGAAGACAAGTCTTTTCTTATGAGTTTTCTCCCCTCCACCTCATCATTTATCCTACGTGGCACTCCTAGGATAGCACCACTGTAAATGCCCTCAAAGATACCACTAAAAATCAAGATTTTTACTTGTGTCGGGTTGTTAGTTTTGGATGCGTGTATCTTAACTATGTAGAGGCTGGGTGTCGCTCACCATGCTTCTTCATGCTAAATTTTGATTTAATAAAAGTGTCCTTTTAAAGAAATGGCTTTGGGTATAAGCGGCTCTACCCTCAATCCATAAGGATTCAAAAAGTTTTACTCATATTTCCCCTAAGTTTAGCTACAACTCAGTCTATGGTAGACGAAGATGTGTGCGGTAATGGTATATGGATGATAGGATTACTAGCCATGCATGGGCTATTTTTGGCATGGATGCCGCCAACGGAAAATCCGGCAGAGGCTGAGTCGTGTCTGTGCCTACTGGTGATGCGGTTAAGTTTTCGTTCGTTGTTGCTACCTAAATAGGGATATTCATGATATGTTTCATGCATGCAAGTGCATCCACAAGTTGATTAGTAGATAATACATACTACTGTTTGGCTAGGATAAAACTTTAACAATACGCCATACTGAGATAATATAAAAGGTGGCGATGAATTCACGGGTAAAGTTAGTTTGAGGTTTTCTATGCTAGCAAACGTTCCAGCATTAGCAATAGGTGACCGAGGCATATTCTTTCTAGCACTCATATCATCCATAAATAATTGATATACAATTCTATGGTACTCAATAACTTAACTTTGCATTTCAGCTAATTGCTCGGGAGAGAAAATATAACTTAAGGTTTTAACATGTTTGCCTTGTGGAGGAGGTACATGATTTCTTCAATCAGGGTGACTATTGCATTGACGATCCTTCTTGAAATTTGCAAGATACACTTGTAAACTCCCCTCCTCATGTTTCTTCTTATATACCTCGCAAGATTTACATTGTTCTTCTAATAACACATACTAGCTAGGTTGGACTATGCTATTGGCCTTGATTTCTCAGGGCTTTGGGAACTTGCTGTCAGACATGATGAACAACATTATCCCTTGATCTTTTTCTCTCAAACACCAAAACTGTGTATGCAAATGAAGACATCACATGTCCTCCCACCGTCAAGGGCGATATCTAGGACACATCGCCAGAGAAGCCTTGTCGGGAGCACGATAGGCAAGACAAGCCGATGCGGTCTCTTGACCCCAAAACCCCACACACCCGCGAGGGGCCTTGTTAGAGTGTGTGGCGGCTATTGGTTGTCCTAGGTCGGCCTGGCCGCGCCTAAAGCCTTGTAGTCTACTGCAATCGACAATGAAGAACAATAAACTAAAAATATATAGTAAAGAAGAAGTAGATGAAAATAAAAGTAGCAGATTGATTCTGTTCAATTGTGTGTGTTGTAAATTAGCCACCACCCTTCACATATTTATAGGGCGGCTGGTCTTGTCGTAGGAGAGTAGGACTCCTAGTCTGAACACCCGACTATCAACATGACTTTTCACCCTTCACCATGTCGTCAGTGAATCAACCAAAAATTTGTCGATGTTCATACCTTTACTGAAGTCGTCAGTCATGGTCATCAACATGAACACATCACCCTTCACCATGTTGTCACCGAAGCCACCAAAAAGTTGTCTATGTCTGCTTCATTATCGAAGTCACCAGTCTTGATCATCAACATAAACTCATCACCCTTCACCATGTCACCAGGTAATCCACAAAAAGATTGTCTGTACTCGCGTCTTTACCAAAGTCGCCAGTCATAATGTCAACACAAACTCGCCACCCTTCACCATGTCACTAGTGGAGCCACCAAAAATTGGCAGAGTTCGTGTCTTCATCGAAGTTGCCAGTCTTGATCATCGACACAAACTCGTCACCCTTCATCACGTCACCAGCAGAGCCACCAAAAATTGGCAGAGTTCGTGTCTTCATTGAAGTTGCCAGTCTTGATCATCGACACAAACTCGTCACCCTTCACCACGTCGCCAGCAAAACCACCAAAAATTTGTCTGTGTTCGCATGATTATCGAAGTCGCCAGTCTTGGTCGTCAACACGAACTCGTCACCCTTCATCATGTTGCCAGTGAAGCTGCCAAAATATTGTTTCTATTCGAGTATTTATGGAAATCACCGGTCTTGGTCATCAACACTAACTCGTCACCCTTCACCATGTCGCCAGCAAAGCCGCCAAAAATGTGAGCGTGTTCGCTTCTTTATCGAAGTCGCCAGTCTTGGTCACCAACATGAACTCGTGACCCTTCACCATGTCACCAGTGAGGCCGCCAAGTTTACGTGTGTTTTCGCCGTTTCTTACTGTAATTTGACACCAGTTTAATGGAATGTTGAATTTCTCTACAAACAGTCCAGATCCGACACTCCACACAGTCGGGGATTAGGGGATCATATCTTGGACCATATCACTGGATTTGCACTCATTGGCTGCCACACAGTTCAAGAACGTCACGCCATCTCGGGTCCCTTGCTGCCGCTACACGGTCCACCTATCACCCAGAGAGGAGAGAAAGAAAGTCGGCAACGCCGACTAAGGTGAGGGAGGAGAAACCCACCGTCACAGATGAGATGGTACCCCCATAGTCTCTGTCACACAC